TGAACTCCATGGCCCAGCAGCCAGGTACATAGGCATGTACCCCTCTCCTTTTAAAGCCCTGGGAATTTTTGAAATTCTTCTTCCTGTTTTCTCAGTATGAACTGCTCACATAGCATCTTCCCAGCTGACCAAGGTCCCAGGGTCCTCCAGGCAGCAGCAAATACGCTCCTGCCTGGAGGACCCTGGGAGTTGTTGGATCTGCAGGGAGAGGAGGCTGAGCAGTTGCAGTTCTGCTCCAGCTGTAGGAGCTTTGATACCCACAGGCAGATTGCTCAAGGCATGGAGCTCAAGGGGTACGAGAGGGAGACACAGCAGTGTTGTGCCAAGATCAAGGAGCTGAGGCAGGCATATCAGAAGGAAAGGGAGGCCAACTCCACCCCCAAGAGCCCTGTGGATACTTTGGGGAAGGGGGGCTGGAGGCAGCAGCCATGGGGTGAACTCCAAGAATGAAATGATGGATGAGAAAGTGGAGTTGGAAGAGAATGGAGGACAGGCATTAGGACAGTCCAGTGGTGTGGTGAGCCAGGACCTGTTTTTAACTCCAGAGGGGTCTAGCCAGTCTCAGCACTTCAGCTATGGCATGCCTAATGCAGGAGAGGGGCTCTCCGGTAAGTACTTGCTGTGCTTCGATACTGCAGGGAGAAATGAAGTAAAGCTTCCCGCCACATCCCAGGGTAGAAAAGGGATAGAAATAGTAGCACTGTATGCATCTGCTTCGCATTCCTCTGTGTTGCTAAACAGAGGGGTGCCCTGTGGAAAAGTTTGTTGATGCACACTTGGATGTCCTAGGAAACCTTCATAGAGATCTCTAGGAAATGTTCATGAAGGTACTCAGAAATCCTTTGCTGAAGTTTCCTTGGGAAGGCTGCTTTGTTCCTTCCCCCATGGAAGGAAACTTTGCTGTGCCAATCATCAATTACACCTGCAGGCACCAAAGCAGCACACAGGTGAGCAGTATATGGACCCGGTCTTCAACCACACGCATGCAGGGGCTGTGGTTATCTTGCTCCTGAGGGTATCAGCTTCTATCACCCCTGCCTGTGGAAAACTGTGCCAGTATTCAGAATAGCGTCCCAAGGTACTCGTAATGGTCCTTCTCAAACACTCCCCTGCCCTTTGTCCTATCTTACCCCCTCCCCCTTGTGCCCAACTGAACTCACCATGGTTAGGGCTCTTGGCATGCTGTGTGCCTGCCAAGGGAAAGTGGTGTATGTAACTTTTATGAATCAAGGCTGTGAGCGCACTCCCAATAGTGCCTCAATCTATTGTTTCTTCAGCTTCTAAAGATGTGGCCTTGAGTCTCCTCCTGCACACTGGCCAAATGCCTCCATCTGATAAGGAGATGAACCAGAGGATTCAGGACAACCTGCTCAGGGAGGTGCTGCAATCATCTGATGATGCTGATAGTGAGCAGACCTTGGAGAGAAGCTATCAATGAAAAACTGAGAATGGATAGCCATGAGAACAAGGAGTAATGGTCTCAAGTTGAAGTGGGGGGGTTTAGGTTGGATATTAGGTAAAACATTTTCACTAGGAGGGTGGTGAAGCACTGGAATGGGTTACTTAGGGAGGCAGTGGAATCTCCTTCCTTAGAGGTTTTTAAGGTCAGGCTTGACAAAGCCCTGGCTGGGATGATTTAGTTGGGGATTGGTCCTGCTTTGAGCAGGGGGTTGGACTAGATGACCTCCTCAGGTCTCTTCCAGCTCTAATCTTCTATGATTCTAAGAGAAGAAACAGGCAGGAGTTGATGATTCAGCTGGTCGAGACACAAACAGACATGCTGAAGTCCCTGACCGCGCTGCACGTGGAACACATCGATGCTCACCTCCTTTTGCAGCCCATTCAGAATGGTCTTCCAGGGCCTCCCCGAACTCCCCACACACATTCCTCACATACCGCAGTATCCCGTGTGCTCCACTTTTATGACATGTTTCAAAATGACAGTTGGACATACACCCAGTTGGACATACACCCAGACAATGAATCTTTATTGATCTTCGACCCACAATGGTTGCTGCTGAAATTCATACATAGTGGCAAATCAGAGTATTTGCAGAGTACACTTAATGCACACACAGCAATCATTACAAGGGTCATACTACAGTGTAAGAAAACAATGCCTGGCTCAATGCAAAGACATATAGAAAGACATTACTGAGACTCATTATCAAAATGCTCCTTCAAACACTCACTCGTTGGAATAGCTCCCCATTCAGCCTCTCTAACAGCCCTGGATCTGGCTGCTCAAAAACAGCTACCAGCCAAATCCATCTCAAGGCTCCACCTCTGCAGAAACTTTCCTCCATTACTTTCACACATATTATGCATAGCACAGCAGGCTGCTATGACCATAGGAATATTTTCCTCACTGAGGTCTAGCTTGCCAAAAAGGGACCACTGCAACCCTTTAATCTGCCAAAGGCACATTCAATGGTCATTCTGCAGCTGCTGAGCTTGTTGAAGCACTTCTTGCTGCTGTCAAGGTTTCCAATGTAAGGCTTCATGAGCCATGGGAGCAAGGAGGAGGCTGGGTCTCCAAGGATCAGAATTGGCATTTCCACATCCCCAGTTACAATCTTCTGGTCTGGAAAAAAGTCCCTGCTTGCAGATTTCTGTATGGGCTAGCATTCCTGAAGATAAGTGTGTCATGCACCTTCCCTGACCACCCCGCTTTGGTGTCTATGAAACAACCCCAGTGATCCACCGACACTTTTCTATGGTATTGCAAAGTAACCCTTTCTGTTGATGTACTCCATCGCAAGGCGGTCTAGGGTCAAAATGGGATATGTGCAACACAGTTAGGGAATCCCATTACCACAAAGCCATCCACTATTTCCCTCACATTGCCCAGAGTGTCAGTCTTTCGTAGCAGGAGGTGATTAATGGCCCTGCACACTCACATCACTGCAATCCCCACAGTGGACTTCCCAACTCCAAACTGATTCACGACTGATAGGTAGCAGCCTGGAGTTGCCAGCTTCCACACAGTGATTGCCACTCACTTTTTCACAATTAGGGCAGCTCTTATTTTGGTGTCCTTGTGCTGCAGGGTACAGATAAACCTCACACACAGTTCCAGAAAGGTGGCTTTTCACATGCAAAAGTTCTGCAGTCATTGCTTCCAAAGCCCAGTACCGACAGTCCACTGCATGCAGCTGCTCTGTGAATGCCAGCAGTAATCTTGAATTGTTTTTTTCCATGGCATGTAGCAGGGCTGACACCACCGTGTCATGATCAGATCCACAGCTCATGAAGTACTACAGGATCAGCCATGTTGTGTTCATGATGCTCATCACAAAACTAAAGAGCAGTGCAGGATCCATGCTTTCAGACAAAGATGGTAGATGCACAGTTCACAGGTGCAATTGAAAAGCGGCATGAAACATAGTAGGAAGCCCATAGAATGATGGGTCGAAGAAAACTGCATCGTGGGATGCTGAGCCTACCCCCCCCCCCCGATGCACTGTGATCTCTTCCCAGAGCACCCAGGAGCAAATGGTGGGGAGTTGCACAGTGGGATAGCTACCAACAGTACACTGCTCTATCTGTCGATGCATGAGCACCAACTGTGGACACACTTCACCATCACAAGGACAGTTGTGTGGATGTGCACAAACAGTTTAATTACAGCGGTGGAAGATGATCAACATAACTTACATTGACTTAATTTTGTAGTCGAGACATAGCCTTAGCAATTCAAAAGCAGTAACATCAATCACAGCCTTCGCCTGTGTCCATTATACCCATCCTGGAGGAAACAAGCTGCAGGCTGCCACAACGAGCCAGCTGAATGTCTCAGCTTTAGGCAGGGTGCTAAGACCTGCTAATTGGATGGGTCACCAGAAGAGCTCTGACCCCACTGTTACCACGATATTGGCTAAATATACTACTAAAAGTACACTGCATGAGCTACAGCCAACACACAACTGATACTAGGTACAGAAGTGGTCTGAGGGTGCGCTTCAGACCTAGGCTGTTATAGTTAGGCTAGGGTTGAGGCCAAATTAAGGCTAGGGTTTGGTTTTCACAATGCTATAGTCTCATGAATTTAGTGGAGATTGAACAATTCTTTCACTCCTAGTGATAGTCCCTCCATAGCAAGGATGGAGCATATTGGCAGGATGAGGAAGCTTGGTCTGGTGTTTCCCATATTATGGCCACTCTGTCTAAATGGAGGGTTTTAAGTTCAGATCCTCAAACATATTCTAGGCACTTAACTCCAATTGATTTTAGTGAGTTAGGTGGCAAAATATCTTAGAGGATCTGGGCCTTAGTCTCTAGGGCTGTGAAACAATCTCAGTGCATTTTTAATAGATTAAATAGGTTTCAGGTAATTTATTTTAAATCATGCTGTGAAATATTGGTAGGATCTGTGAAACGGAAGTTTAATAAGGTCATCATAAAAATACAAGAAAATGTTTGCTTTGTTCACACACATCTCTGGTATTTTATTATGCATGGTTTAAAAATATGGGGAGGTGAAATTATCACTAAAACCCTCCTCACTACTCCCCAGAAAAAGAGTGCTGGTTCAAACAGTTGGTAAAAATGAAGGTAATATTTATAGAAGTCATTTTCAAGTGGTCCCTAGGGAAACCAGACCTCAAAACTGCAGGCAAGTAAAAGGAAGTTAATGGGCGATGCTGATTATTGGACAGACTTCTCAGGTACAGATGAGGATTTCTCAGTAATAGATTAACTAGAGTATCAGTGCGTATCAGTCTCTGTGTGGTACACTACCGTTGTCAGTTTCAAAGTTCACACTGAAAACCAGCAGAGTCTGAATGAAGTCCGGGTAGAGGAAGACTTAAGGGAAAGTGAGGTAAGTGACACACTGAAACAGACAAGTTATGAATTTAAGAATGGGGTGGGCGGAGAGGGGGTGGAATCAGCAAAAATCAGTGATAAAAAGCAATACTTAATACTGTAGAGAAGCGTATGCAGCCATCTTGCTGTGATTTTCCTGTGCTGATCTGCATCCCTGTGATTGATTTTCAAAGGTTCTGAGCATGTGTGACTTCAGTTGGTGGTGGGGATCCTGGGCACTTCTGAAAATCCAGTTCATGGTGACAAACAGTCCCAGGTAATAGGGACAGCAGTTGGTATTTAAAAATAAACACTTTCCTAAACAGGTTTAATGAATCTGAAGTGAGTAAGGGGAGATTATTAATTCAACTATCCCAATTTTCTCTGTTCATTTTCAGTGAAATTAATAAAGTACCTGTTTTCCTAGGTTTTTCCGTAATGATTAGACAACTATTCCCCCCTTCATTAATATGAATTAGAAAGTTCAATATCTGTACTTCAATCGTCAGAGGATGGATTCATCCTCAGGCTTTTGTTAACTATCGCCACCTGTAAGATCTAGTTCCTCCTGTAAAATGAGGACTAGTTAAAATTACCTCTTGAACAGGTACAAGAGGGCCTAAATAAATATACAATGTTGGGTGACGGACATTCTAAAAATATTCACTGAATATGAAATATCACAATCATTTAAACAATGCTTGTGAAGTTTCTAGTGTCACTGCTTACCTAGACCGACACTTTATTCCCAAATACGGGCACTGTCTTTTTTGACACGTCCCTGAAATCCTTATTATTTTTAACTATAAAATGTATGTAAAGTCCTTTTGAGACAATCAATGGTCTGGATCCAGGTAGTAAAGGCTCTTAAGACACTGCATTATTTTAAATTAATAGGCACTATAAAGAGGAGCTGTCTTTTTAGTGGTTTTATTTGTGTATGTATATATTGAAAATAAATAATTAGTTGTCTGTCCTCTCCATCACCATCAATCATCATCACCACCTCTCATCTTTCCCTTCCCCGGGTCCTAAGTGATTTTAGATTGCTATAGCACCAATGTGTCATGCAGTGTTGTTGTAGCAGTGTTGGTGCCAGGATATTAGAGAGGCAAGGTGGGCAAGTTAATATCTTTTACTGGAAACTTCTGTTGGAGAGAGAGAGAGAGAGAAGCTTTCGAGCGTACACAGAGCTCTTCCTCGGACCTGGGAAATGTACTCAGAGGGTACGTCGACATATAAACTAGATACCTTCTGGCTCGCGGTGCTCAGTCTGCGGCGCTGTTGTATAGCTGTGTAGACTTCTGGGCTCCAGCCAGAGCCCAGACTCTGGGACCCTGCAAGGGGGAAGGGTCCTGGAGCCCAGAAGTTTACACACCATGAAACAGCCCCACAGCTCAAGACGACTGGCCTGTGCCAGCCATGGGTTTCTCTTTGCTGTGTAGACATTCTCAGAGTGTCACAGGTGGAACACATTGTTTACCATAAGTACAGTAACTCCTCACTTAAAGTCATCCCGGTTAACATTGTTTCGTTGTTCGGTTGCTGATCTATTAGAATGGGGTGGGCAAACTTTTTGCCCTGAGGGCCACATCGGGGTTCCCAAACTGTATGGAGGGCCGGGTAGGGAAGGCTGTGCCTCCCCAAACAGCGTGGCCTCTGCCCCCTATCTACCCACTCCCACTTCCCCTGACTGCCCCTCTCAGAACTTCTGACCCCCCCCCCAACTTCTTGTCCCCTGACCATCCCCTCCCTGGACCCCCCAACCTCTAACTGCCCCCCGGGACTCAACCCCTATCCAAGCCCCCCTGCCCCCTGACTGCACAATCCCTATCCACCCCCGCACCCTATGTCAGCCCCCCCGGAACTCCCACGCCTATCCAACACCCCGTTCCCCGGCCCTTGACTACCTCCCCCAGAACCTCTGCCCCATCCAACTGCCCCCTATCCCCTGACTGCCCCCCGGGACCCCTTGCCCCTTATCCAACCCCCCCCCCCCCCGCCTCCTTACCATGCCGCTCAGAGCGGCGGGACTGGCAGCTGTGCTGTCCAGCCAGCACAAGCCACACTAGGGAGAAGGGGGGGGGGGTTGGGGGGAGATGGACCACAGGAGGGGAGGGGCCAGGGACTAGCTTCCCCAGCCAGGAGTTCAAGGGCTGGGCAGGATGGTCCTGCGAGCCGGATGTGGCCCATGGGCCGTAGTTTGCCCACCTCTGTATTAGAACATACTCATTTAAAGTCACGCAATGTTCTGTTATAATGTTGTTTGGCTCACCCTGCTCCGTCCGCCTATTCCAGCTGGGGAGTGGGCAAGCCCTCGACCCCACTCCCCAGCAGGAGCGCTGGGCAGGCAGAGCAGGTCAAGTACCCATGTCCCAACCCTGCTATGCTCCTCTCTCAATCGAGTTTCACAATCATCATTTGTGAGTACAGTATTAAATTGTTTAAAACTTATACTGTATATGTATATGATGTCTTTTGTCAAGTGAAAAAAATTTCCCTGGAACCTAACCCTTCCTATTTACATTAATTCTTATGGTGAAATTGGATACGCTTAACATGGTTTTGCTTAAAGTAGCATTTTTCAGGAATATAATTACAGTGTTAAGGAGTTACTGTAGTTAACACATATTTCAAGGGACCATTCAAGATGAAGTAGCCTGTTAACACGACAAACTTCAACCACCTGTCCATTAAAAACTCTGGAAACACCAACACCAGCAAAGAAAAAAGCAAAAGCTTGTCTCTCTCACCAACAGAAGTTGGTCCAACAAAATATATTACCTCACCTACCTTGCCTCTCTAAAATGGATTAGACAAATTTCTGTAGTTCCAACCTGAAGAGTCTGGAATGTTGGCCATGGCAGATGTTGCTATGCCAGCATCACCTTGGAAAGGGGCAGAGGGCACCTGTTCTGGTGTGTTTGTTCTGGAACTGGAACCCCTTCTGGATCCCTCTCTACTGGCAGTTTTGGGACAATTGGTGACCTGTGGTAATGCTCAAGTGTGTAACTCCAAACAGTTGTTTGACAGAGGGGAGACGAAGGTGAAGACAGAGCTCAGAAATTGGCTGCTGAACAGCATGTGAGCTACCCGTGTGGTGGAGGACATGCTCCCTAAGTTTTGTGGGGTTTGAGCTGCTTCCCTCATGCCATCAGGTTTCTAGGGCTTGATGTTAGTTTAACTCACAAAACACAGCTACAGAACCTACTCCTCTCCCCTCTGTTCTCTCCCTGTCACCATCTCCTCTGTAATCTCTCTCCCACCCCCTTCCCCATTGTTCTCTCCTTAGTTGGACTGTTTCCCCTACATTGGTCACTTGTGCTCCCTAGTTTCTCTCAGCTCCCTCCTGATTCTCTTGATATAGGAGATCTGCTGATGTGGGACAACTGCTATGGCACTTCAATCCGGGTTCCCTATTTGTGGATAGCAAGGGTGGACAGTGGGTACAGAGGAATGCTCCTTGGGGTCAGTCAGAGGTACTTCTCTGATTGGCACTTTACTCCCCACACTGCCGAAGTGCTTCAGTCAGAGCAGGTCAAAGTGCTTCAAGGTGCAGTTCTTATGGTTTACTGGTTATTTCTGAAAGTTGCTTTGGTATCACCCAGCTAAAACAGCTATTAATAGTATTTGTTCTGGATTTGCTGAAACAGGTGTGTGGACAAAGGCAGATACAATGTCTGACACCGATGAGATGACCATCAATCTTCTCTTGGTTGGAAGGACCCAGAGTGGCAAAAGTGCTGCTGGGAATAGCCTTCTGGGCAGCTCTGACTTTGACAGCCATCTATCCCCAAGCTCTGTGACCACATGCTGCAGTCTCGGATGCAGCTGCCGCATCTCAGGCTTCACACGCCGAAATGGCTACGAGCTAGCCCTGCGGGTTCATGTCATGGACACTCCAGGGTATCCTCACAGCAGCCTGAGCAAAGAAGAGGTGCGGCAAGCGGTGAGGGCAGCTCTGGCTCAGCACTTTGGAGAGGAGGGCCTTCACCTAGCACTCTTGGTCCTGAGAGCTGACTTACCTCTTTGTGAAGAAGAAAATCATCACACAATTCAGCTAGTCCAGGTAAAAAATTCTCTACATCCTGGCAACTCTGTTGTTTTTAGAACTAGGAACCCTCAAATGATATCAGCTGAAGTAGAAAGGAGACAGGTAGGTGCAGTTCCCACACCCACCTCTCCCTCCCTCCCACAGCCCAGGCTTGTTCTAGCTAAAACTCAGTAGCATTTCTGTGTTGCAGACAAACTTTTCATTTTAAATTTGATGGAAGAAAGTTAAACACGGAACAGGTGGCCAAGTATTATTCACTTAATTATAGCAGGGCTAAGCAGAAAGGGGCCTGTGAATCTGGTTTACCATTAAGAATGTTTTTCTCCCCCATCCCACCCCCATAATAGGATTTACATGTATTGCCTTTTGAGGTTTATTATCAAGGACCCAGACCTGTTGAGAAGAAATGCTACTTTAATCATCTGCAACTAGAAGCTAAATGAACTATATGCAAAGAACTACATTAACATGGGGTGAATTAAGGTGTTTTGAATTGCACAAAACCCAGAGGAACTTCAAAAACTAAAACTTTCCACCAGCACCTTAACTCTGCCCCCTAAAACACATATGCATTTTCCAAGAATTGTACTTGGTGAATGTTAAGTTTGTCGATGTTTATATAATAATTGATAGTTAAAACAAGAGGAATGTTTGATCAAAGCCACTGCTATTTTAGTAAGACAGTAGAACCTCAGTTATGAACACCAGAGTTACAAACTGACGGGTCAATCACATACCTCATTGGAACCAGAAGTATGCAATCAAGCAGCAGCAATAAAAAAGCAATACAGTACCATGTTAAGCATAAACTATTAAAAATAAAGGGGGAAAGTTATAAAAAAAATCTGACAAGGTAAGGAAACTTGGTTTTTTGTTTAAATTAAGATGTTTAAAAGCAGCATTTTCCTTCTGCATAGTAAAGTTTCAAAGCTGTATTAAGTCAATGTTCAGTTGAAATGTTTCAATAAACAACCATGTTCAGAGTTACAAATAACCTCCATTCCAGAGGCGTTTGTAACTGAGGTGCTACTGTACTACTATTCTGCTTTTTTATAGCAGTTGTCATCTGATCTTCTCAAAGCACTTTACAAATAAGAAAAAATTGTCAAAACTCCCCTGTGAGGTAGAGGTTATTCCCATTTACCAGATAAGGAAACCACAGATAGAGATATTAAGTGAATAGCCCACGGCCACACAGGTACCTTGTAGGTAGAACTGGGAGTATAGCTCAGATCATCTACCTCTCTTATAATACCAATAGTGTTCAAAGCTAAGCGGGGAGTAATATACTTTACATTTCTTTAGCAACTTTCCTCTGGTGGGGATTCACTATAACAAATGAGAGTTTCAATCCCTTGCTCTGGGATGGAGACTCCTCCTCCTCCTTTGTAGGTGGCTGAAATTCACCCAAAAATTGCTGACACTTAGCAACAACAACAAGAACGGTCACTCACCTTCAAACTGTTGTTCTTCAAGATGTATTGTTCATGTCCATTCCAAACAGGTGTGCACGGCAGCTGGAAAACTTTTCCCCTAACAGCATCAGTCAGGTCGGCCTGGGTTCCCCCTGGAGTCACGCCTTCAGGGTGCTCAATATAGACCCCAGCTCACCTGCCACTGCCTCAGTTCCTTCTTGCCGGCTACTCCAACAGAGGGGTAGGAGGGTGGGCATTGGAATGGACATGAACAACACATCTCGAAGAACAGATACAAGAAGGTGAGTAACCATTTTTTCTTCTTTGGGTGCTTGTTCACGTCAACTCCAATCAGGTGACTCACAAGCCTGAGTTCTGGAGGTGGGGTCTGAGTCATCCACTGATTAGAGCACTGCTCTTTCTAAAGGCCTGTGGGGTGATTGCGCAGTGCATGGTGAAAGTGCGTATGGAGGACCATGTCACTGCTCTGCAGATTTCTTGGGTGGGAACCTGTGTCAGGAATGCCATTAAAGAAGCCCGAGCCCTGATGGAGTGCGCAGCGATTGGGGAAGCAGGTACACCTGCCAGGTTGTAGCACTCATGGATGCAGGACGTGATCCATGACGAAATCCGTTGAGAAGACAAAAGACCACCTTTCATTCTGTCCACCCCTGCCACAAATAACTGGATGGACTTTTGGAACGGCTTTGTTCTCTCAACGTATAAGGCTATTGCACTGCAGACAGCCAACAAGAAGCCTTTGCTCCCTGCCGCTCAAGTGCGGCTTAGGCTAGAACACTGGGAGGAAGATGTCCTGGTTCACGTACAACTGGAAGACAACCTTTGGGAGGAAAGCTGGGTGAGGCCTGAGCTGAACCTTGTCCTTACAAGAACACAGTATAAGGAGCTTCTGATGTTAGGGCCCTGAGCTCAGACACCCTCCTGGTTATTGCTACCAAAAATACCACCTTCTTTGAGAGCAGGGAGCAGATCGCCAAAAGGTTTAAAGGGCAGACCCATGAGTCTGGAAGGGACCAGATTGAGGTCCCAAGCCCGGACAGGCTGTCAGGACCTTTAAGAAAATGGCTGACCACAGGATTAGCAAAGACCGAGTGGCCCTCTGCGCCTTGGTGAAAGGTCGAGATGGAGGCCAACTGGACCCTTATTGATGAGATAGAGAAGATATTCCAGTATAAGTGGTACAAAGGTAAGCGTCGGGGATGAATGGTACTGCGCAGACCAGATTGAAAATCTCTTCCACTTGGCAAGGTAGGTGGCTGTCATGGAAGGTTTGCTACTGCCAAGGAGGACTTGTCTAACCAGGTCTGAGCAGACGAGCTCCATCAGGTTCAGCCATGGAGCTTCCACGCCATGAGGTGCAGCGACTCAAGCTTCGGGTGTTGGAGACTGTCAGGATCCTGTGTTAGTACATCCGTGAAGAGCAGCAAGGTGACTGGAGCTTCCACGGACATTTCCAGGAGTAATGTGTACCAGTCCTGGCGGGGCCAGTCTGGAGTTATCAATATGACCGAGGCTTGTTCCCACTGTATCTTGAGGAGCACCTTGTGGATGAGAGGGATAGGTGGAAATGCATATAGGAGATGGCCTCGCCATGGGAAGAGGAATGCATCTGTGATGGAGCCTGGGCTGTGATTCAGGAAGGAACAAAACTGCTGGGACTTCCTATTGCGTCATGTGGCGAACAGGTCTATCCGGGGAAAACCCCACTGATGGAAGATTGAGATCGCAACTTCCGGGTGAAGGGACCACTCGTGGCCATGGAACGACCTGCTGAGATAGTCCGCCAACTCATTCCATACTCCAAGGAGATACGATGTTTGCAGATATACCAAATGCTCTACACAGAAGTCCCACAGCATGAAGGCTTCCTGGCACAGGAGAGAGGAGCGTGCACCCTCATTTGTTGACATAAAATGTTGCTGTGGTGTTGTCTGTCATAACTAATACATCTCACTGTCAAGTGGGCTCAGAAACTCTGGCATGCCAGGCAGACTACTCTCAGCTCTCTGACACTGATGTGGAAAGCGAGTTCCACCTGAGACCAGAGGCCTCATGTCCTGAGGTCTCCCAAATGTGCTCACCAGCCCAAGACTGACGCATCCGTCACTAGCAAGAGAGACAGCTGGTGAAGGAGACCCCTGCACATACTACTTGTGGGTCGAGCCACCACCGGAGGGAGTAGAGTACCAGACAAGGTAGGGTTACGATCTTATCCAAGCTGTCCTGGACTGGCTGATACTCCGAGGCTAGACATAACTGAAGAGGTCGAAGTACGAGTCTGGCATGCTGTACTATGTAGGTACAAGCCACCATGTGCCCCAGGAGCTTCAGGCAATTCCTTGCCGTGGTGGTGGGAAATTGCCAGAGACCTTGTATGATGTCGCTGAGGGACTGAAACGTTGCTTCTGGGAGGTATGTCCTGGCTTGAGTCAAGTCTAGTACTGCCCCTATCTGCTGAACCGGGGACAGAATTGATTTCCCCTCATTCAGAAGGAGGCCCAGTTCATCGAATGTCATTCTTAAGAAGTCAACTTGTGCCTCCACTTGAGACCTGGATTGGCCCTTGATAAGCCAGTCGTCGAGGTACAGGAATACCTGTACCTGCCATCTGCACAGGAACATGGCCACAACTGCCATGCACTTGGTGAATACTCGAGGTGCTGCCAATAGGCTGAATGGGAGGACTGTGAACTGGTAGTGGGTGGTGTTCACCACAAACCTGAGGTATTTTCTGAGGGACAGAATTATTGCTCTGTGAAAGTACACATCCTTCAAGTCAAGGGTGGCATACCAGTTTCCTGGATCCATTGAAGGAATGACAGAGGCCACAGAGACCATGCAGAACTTGAGCTTCTTCATGAACTTGTTGAGTTCTCGCAGGTCTAGGGTGGGCCTGAGCCTTCTTTTGGCTTTCGGTATTAGGAAATACCGAGAATAGAAACCCTTGCCCTTTTGCTCCTGAGGAACCTCTTCCACTGCTCCTAGTGAAAGGAGTGAGTGCACCTCCTATATAAGGAATTGCTCATTAGAGAGATCCCTGAAGGACAGGGAAGGGGTGGTGGAAGGGCGGGGTGGGGGTGCACAGAATTGGATGAAGTATCCCCTCTCTACCGTGCGGAGCACCCAGCAGTCTGAAGTGATATGGGACCATGCACGGTAGAAAGGGGACAGTGAGGACGAAAAGGTAAGGTGGGGTAGATCCAGTTCTTGTCCTGGTGCGCTATGCTCAACTGCATCTTCAAAAGGCCAGTCTGGGGCCGGAAGGTGGTTTCGGCTGGCCAGAACCCTGCCCTGAGGATGGATGCAGCCTTTTTTTGCCACTCCTATTCCTCCTCCAAGGAGCGTCCTGCCCATTCTGTGGTTGGTAGAACTGTGATGGAGGCTGCGGCCAGAAATGCCTGTGCTGAGTCGCAGGAGTATGGAGGCCCAAGGACTTGAGGGTGGCCCTCTAGTCCTTTAAACTGTGGAGTCTATTATTTGTTCTCTCAGAAAAGAGGGCTGAACCCTCAAAGAGGAGGTCCTGAATGGTTTGTTGGACCTCGTAGAGGAGACCCAAGACCTGCAACCAGGAACTCTTCC